TGGAAAGCTCTACATCAACTTAAAAACTAGATTATAAATGGAAAAGCATGTTGGATAAACTACTCAATGATGTTTGAAAAGAATAAAGCCAAGCATCTTCTAAATTTCAGCTCAAATAGATCAGAATAGTGATCCCAAATGGGGCGACTTTCCCCTCCAATAAGACACTGGCCAAAGTTTGGGAACACAGTGAACTGTCAAGACTATGGAGGGAGGGAAAGACTGAGATGTTGCCTAACCGCCAGCAGTACACAAGGACCCCCTGAATCCACCACTGAATTATCCAGTTCACAGTGCTGAAATCAAGAAGTTCCAGCCAGGTGTGATGGTGCATGCTTGTAATCCTAGCAATCTAGGAGACTGAGGCAGGAGGATAGCAAGTTAGAGCCTAGCCTGGGCAGCACAGTTACTTAGCAAGACCCTGTCTCAAAAGTAAAAAGGGCTGGAGATATGTAGCTCAGTGTAATGGCCCTGGATTTAATCCCCAGTACCAAAAACAGAAAGCAAAGAAGTCCCAGTATGTGGACATGCCCTAAAGAGCACATGGAGAAGACAGCTGATAGCCACAATTCCCAGGTCTTTGAGTAAATAAATTTAGTTGTGGCCAATTCTGTTTCTGGCCACAAACCAATCAAGTCAAAGGCATGTACATCTTGTCCAACAGAAAGCTGTCAAACAGTTCTTCAGGGTCAGTGCCCAGAGGTCTTCCACAAGCATTCTATCAGTGAGGCAGGAGGGCAGATGTGATTTTCACTGGGAAGATATAGCACTAAAGGCTTCATTCATTCATACACAGTGACTGGCTGCTTATCATGGGCCTACAACCCGTACCCAAACACTGGGAGTCATAGGCATGCCACAATTCAGAAGGTTCTGGATTGTAAATAGCAGTATATAGCTGCATTTGTAACCTGGGGCCACCAAGAACATGCACTGCGCCAAACCTGTCACTGTAAAGAGAGGTTTCTATACAGTAAGGAATGGACGTTACACTGGACAGGGTGAGCCAGGACCACATGTAGCCTTTCTCAGTCAGTGAAAGCTCTGTTGCCAAGATATATAGAAACTTGTAGCTGTAGGGACTTAAAAAAAACTATTTTTGAAATTGCAGACAGGATTTTCACATCTCTAATGGAGAGACAAAAACCCAAACCGACTCGATTCAATTAAGTAACATTTTTGCTCTCAAGCAAAGAACCTACTACTTGTACAAATTCCCACTAGTCTGATGTAAGTTTTTCTATTTCAATGAGCCTCACTAGAGAATATAAAGAACAGGACAGTTTCAGTAGAATTTATGTCTTTCTTGGGAGGTGAGGAGGAGTTGATTTCATGATGTTATCAATGCTCTCCACTAAGACAGAATTTCAAAACCCAGATCATTCTGTGTGCCATCCATGACTCTGATGGTTAATTAATTCTGGGTGTCACCCAGACTGGACTGAGGGAGGGCTGAGGCACTGGGAAAGCACACTTCTGCATGTGTCTGTGAGGGTGTTTCAGAGGACTGGCAGATGGGTCAGCAAATGAGTCTCGGGGACTTGCCCTGAATGTGGGTGGCACCATTCAAAAGGCTGGGGGCCCAGATGGAACAAAGGTGCAGAAGGGAGATCTTGCACTCTCTCTTCACGATGGGTGCCTTTTTCTGCTGCAGTCTTCCATGCAGATCAGACTCCAGGTCTTTTAGCCTTTGAACCACTAACTCTCCAGGGGGCTTTCAGGCTCAGATGCGGCTGGTCCCTCCACACTCTCTCTTTCTGAGTCTTCTTGGATTGAGCAGCTAATGGTTTTCCTGGCTCTGTAACCTGCAGATGGCTATTGTGGGACTGTTTGGGCTCTGACTGAATGAGCCAACCTAATAAACTCCTCTTATAATTACATATACTCTTTTAGTTCAGTTTCTCTGGAGAACTTTGAATAATACAATGATGTAGAAAACAAATCTAGCTTAACTCAAAAGGATGCCCAAATGTCCTTGGGTATAGGCCTATGAGGTGTGCTCCATATCAGTTCCTAATTTTGAAATATGCTATGAGAAAATACTTGATGCCCAAAATGAAGGAAGTAAAGGTTTATTTAGCTTACAATTTGTGGAGATCTCACAAATTGTTGGCTCCAAGGCAGGCTCCAAGGCAACATGGCAACTATAGCAGATTCCAAAAATGGTAAGAGCAAAAGGGCAAAAGGGCAAAGCATACCTCCTTTCCTCCCTTATATTGTATGCTGGCCACTGCACTGCCAGTCCCAGCACTAGACAACAAACCAATCACCAACACTAGATGCAGCTGCCTCCATGACAGCATGAGGTTTTAGGGGGACACCCAAACAAAAATGGTAATACATATCTAGTAGATACAGGTCTAATGACATCTAAACATCACCAGAATACAGATGTCTACAGGACAGAGTAACCAATAAAAAACAAAGATGTACAATGACAGCCATAAAAACAAAACACTTAAGTATTAGAAAGTAAAGTTGACAAGCATCAAAGTAAACCCTTAAATGCCCATCAGCCTTACCTCCTCTCTACTTACAACTTCTAAACCAAATATGGAGTTGGCTCTTGGTTTAATTTAGGGTTTTACAACCTTAGCACTACTGATATTTGCAGCCAGGTGATTGTTTGTGGTGGGGTCTTCTCTGTCCATTTTAAGATATTGGACAGCACTCTGGTTTCATGCACTAGATGTAGCAGCAATTCCCCCTTTCTAACAATGAAATAATCAAAATATGTCTCCAAATTTTGGCAAATGTTATTGGGTAAGGCACTCCCTCTGCACTAGGCTAGCATTCAGAAGGCTGCCCTTCTTTCTAGCCCTGCGAATAATGTGTAGTGACATGGAGAAAGTAAACTGTTGACCACAAGTCCGTTTCTTTAATTGCAATAACAGAAAGAATTTCCTTTCTTCCCTCCTGCATCCCACAGTTGCCACAAAGGCTGTCAGTTGCGATCCTGAAGGCCTACTGCCCAACTGAGACATAAGCAGAGACAAACAGAAACTGTAGCAGGCCATGAAAATCACAAGATTTCCTGGGGAAACATACTGGAAACTTTGAAGTCTTCAGTGAACTTGAAAACATTTTGTTAATTTTAACAGAAAAACCACATCTGAGGCTTCCCTGACCCCCAAAATGACATTTTCTTTTGTAATGGAGCTTGCATCCAGTACCTCCTCACTGAGCTGTACTCACAGCTCCTTTTTAAAAAATATTCCTTATTTCTAAAATTTTGAGGCAGACTCTTACTAAGTCACTAAACTGCCCAGGCTGGGTTTGAATTTGTGATCTTCCTGCTTCAGCCACCCAAGGTGTTGAGATTGCAGTGTTGGGAGTAGCACAATGCCCGACCCAAAGAGCTTTTTATAACCACATTCTCTTATGAGGAAGGAAATGCTCTCATAACAAACTGTCAAGATCTAAGACCGAGTATAGACCCTTTCCTCTGAGAGAGGAAGAGAGGGAAGAAGGGAGAGAGAGAAGAGGAAACCATTTCAGTGTATGCATGCATGCTTTGAGGCAGGAGCATAAAGAGACAGCAAAGAGGCCCTAGTGAAAAACTTGGGTATCCATGGGCAAGCTCCAAGGTTGGGCGGTGATGTTAGTTTGCACGTGTGGCACCAAAGCTAATGTGCTCATTCCACATGGATGGGCAGGCGGTGGCAGCCATCAGGGCCAGAGCCCAGGAATGGAAATTCACAAGGGCAATTTGACCTTAAAACCATCCAAACAGAAAATGACAGAATAGTCTGGAAATGCTAGGGTTAGATTCATCATTTAAAAATTACCCAGATCAGATAAATGTAAACAGAAACACATAACCATTGTGTATGAAAAGCAAAGTGAAATACATGAAAAAGCCTCTTTCCAGAAAATGATAAATGGTAATGCAGACAAATAAGCAAAAAATATGGACAGCTATTTCACAAGAGAAAATGACTTAGTAAACGGACAGGAGAATTCAGGCAGCTCTCAGGAGTAAGCAGAGAGGAGCCACACAAATCCTGGGCAGGAATTCAGTGTCACCACTTCTGTGCATAGCTTGGCAGGGACGAGGATTGGAAGAACTTCCAGAAATCACATCCATAATACTGGCCATCCTTTATATTGTTCAATTATTACAATTTAAGATATTCTGAGTGTGAAAGTAAGTGATTAAAAAACACTGAACAGCTTTAAATTATTACTACAGATCTTGCAGTATTATGATAATTGAGAAATAAAGAATAACTTAAATGGTCCAATGTTAGAAGAACTGTGGAATCAATGTAAGGTCAAATCAATGAAGATACACTGATTTGATAGCACATTATGTAGACACGTATATCACTAGCTGGAATCTATTCAGCAAACAGAACATAGTCATAATTTAGTAGGAGGTAAAAAGAAAACAGTATACAAAAAGGTATAATTTTCATAATATACACATTTCCTTCCAGTCTTCTACACAGATAATACTGGGAGGAATCAGACTAAAATATTGATGATGATCTTAAAAGAAATCAGAAACTATTAGTTTTTCCTAATAGCTCTTGAAATGTGCTTCAAATTAGATTAGTGCCTCTTCTCCAAATATGACCTATTCCTAAGTTGCTAGGACCTCAAAACTAGAAGATAATTGCCATCTCTGCTGTCTGATCAGACTCTTCATTTTGAAGCTGAAGCATAAATAGATACTGATTTGGATTTCACATTAATGATGAACAGCTCAAAGCAGCTGTTTTTCCCTCATTTGTCTTAGTGCTTATTCAAACCACCCACTCTAGAAAAGGGTCACATGGCTTCTATAGGAAGAACAACTACAGATAAATACTACACTTGAGAGCAAAGGTCCTATAAATCAAGGTGGGAAAGTGGATAGGCAAAGACTTTTGTATTCCCTCTTGTCTCCACTAGGAGGCAGGCAAAAGAGAGACAGAAACTGCGGGGCACTGAGCACGTGGGAGGCATGCCTTTCTGGGTCGGAAAAAACAGGAACAACTTGGGGAACAAACACTGACCTCATAGATAAAATACACTTTGGCCCCCGTGTATATTCCCATGCGCACCACAGCACGGACAGCAGCATTCATACCTGTGAAGGGAACAGGAACAATTGTTACTGAAGAGCCTGGGGCTAATTCTGATTCTGCCATTAATTAATGGAGACTGAGCACACTGTATAACTTCTCCTGTGCTTTTGTTTTCTAGTAGTACACTAATTAGCATAAGGCTTAAGAGAAACAGCAAAGGTAAAGCAGGGTGCTGTGCATGTTAGGGCTCATCTGTGGATGGTTACGGTCATTGTAAAAGAGCCTACCGCACTATCAGTTCAGGATGTCACTAGACCCTAGCACTGCGAGGTGCAGGTACTTACCGTTATCCAACTCCAAAGAAACTTAACACTCAAAAGGGCAACTGGTCTGTAATTTGAGGTTAAAACCGGGTTATTTTATCACTAGCTATTAGTGTTAATTTTTTTAATTGATGAATTTAAATGCAAATACGTAATTTTTTTGGAAGACGAACTAAACCTCCTTACTATAAATAACCACACTTAACCAAGGTAAAGGAGAAACTTCACACTTAGTTAAAAGAAGTTTAGAATATGTCTATATGACGTATTATTATGCAATCGGGTAGATCCACTTTTGTATTTCACTGTGACATGGAACCTGAACAATCCTGTATCCCGGCCGTGGCCCGCGGAGGGAGAAGAGGGAAGGAATGAGGACCCTTCCTGAAAGATGCCTTCAGAATGGAGAAGAGCTGAGCTGTCCATCAAATTGCTCTCAGACACTTCCAACAATTTCAAATCTCCCTCCATGTATTTAAATTCTGGAACAAATGTCAGGACTGGACATGCTGCAGAATGTCTTAAGTACTGTAAGGCTTTTGGTAAATAAATGTACAAATAAGCAGCTCTCCAAGAGTATGTTATGACTAACAAGGAGACTAAATTTGTACAGTGAACTGGCTCAGAAGATGGGTAAAAATGACAACGTCTATTTGCTGAAAAAACGCAAGGCACATGTCTTAGAAATAAGTACATGTTAATATACTTCTAAGATCTATGTGTGAGTATACATGCATATATTTAGTGGTCTTATTATTTCATATTCAAATTTTAATAAGCTCACTGATTAACTGGAGCCATGTCTCAAGAATGTCAAACTCTTTCAATTGCAAAGCAATTATTTTATCCTCTTAATTTTCTCCTGCCCTCTGTATGCTCTCCTGGTGAGCAGCATGATTTTCCTTTTCTGCCTTCCAAGCAGGACACTACTAACACCCTCAATATCTCCTGCTCTTACAAATGACAGCTTTCCCCGACACTCCTCCTGGAATCTCAGTTTCCAACATTATTTATGCCAGGTACTGGCCTGAGTGATTAAAGCAATTTTTTCTCCTGCGTTTCTGCAAATGACTTATAAATGAGTTTTTTATTTAATTATATAAGAGGTAATGCCTTCAAAATACTCCCTTCACTTCACACACACTTATTCCATCATTCTCTCCACTTTCTGAAGCAGCTCTGGAAGAGCTCTTGTTTTTACATGGCCTGATAAAATATACAGTGCCAATAAAATATCTGCTGCCAACCCAGAAAGGCAGGCTCAAAAACACCCGACACCCGTGTCTTCATGGACCTTATTTACCAGATCTGGCACTGTGAGACTCCTAGTTCTTCCCTAAAGTCAAAATGATTTTGTAAAGTGAAAGGTAAAATGGTTTAAATCAATTCAGCACACTAAGGCAGCGGTGACAGCACAACTAAAGCCACCCAGGAAAGGACTTCCAGAACCGTTTCAGGACGTGGCAAGAATGGTGGGGTAAGTATATAAGAAACCAAGGGGAGTACTCTGAGGAGCACTTTACAGGCAGTGTTTCTATAATGTAATAATTTTTTACTTAAACTTACACATTTTTCAATGACATTTCATATTTTATCATGTGTAGTTTCACACTTATTAGTTTTTTCTACACTCAACAGCACTTGAGAAGTTTTCTCCATTAGTAAAGGTGCTCTGTTCTAAAACACAAATACACCTTGCCCTTACCTGTGGTTCCTAGGACCTGTGAGAAGAAAATCCAAGCTCCCTACAGGTGGGTCAGGCCATTCCCTGGGGACTCTCCCTCCTGTTCAGTGTCATGGGAAGTTCCTCTGCTTGACTCTCAGCATCCGCCCTGCTCATGCTTCCCCTTAGAGACCCTTCCTCATCCTCTAAGCTCCTGCCCATTCAAAATGACTTCCTGGCTTCCCTTTCATCTGACTCCCCTTGTTCCTCGTGGACAGAACCAGCTGTCCCCTTTGGGTTCACCCCTGTGGTATGCATGGCACCTGGGTGTGGGTGTGGGCACCTCTCTGGTGATCAGGGTCCAGGATGGCTGGATTCTAACTCCACGGATAAAGGCAGCTCTTCCCAGTCCTCCTGACACACTATGATTCTAGGACTTTCTGCTACAGTCACTAACATGTGGATTGACCGCCAAACACTTAGAATGTTCCAATATCAGGAACCAAGGGATAAAGCAGCAGAACGAATGCCTTTTGCCCTTTCCCATTTTTCATTTTCCTCTCAAGACTTCATTCCACAAGGCCTTTCTGCCAAATGAACAGCCTTGGGGGATTTAGAAAATGTACGTGGGAAAGAAATGGCAGAAGAAATGAAACTGTTAAAAGCTAAATGCAATAGAGAAGCTAATCCCCAGGAGACTCCGGAGCAGCATTATATGTCCCCAACTCCAACCTGCGTCCCTCTAAGTCCAAATGCTTCACAACAGCCTCTGGGCCGGATTAGCCTCCCAAGCCTGCTGTAGGCCCCTGTGGCACTTGGTCAAACCCAGGGTGCTAGGCAGGTCTCCAGTTTTTCAGGTGGAGCCTGAGGTTTACATTTCTAACAGGTCCCCAGTTGTGCTGGTATCCACATTTGACTAAGACACATAGTTCTAAGCCTCAGAGGGCTTTTTTTCACTGGCAAGTTGATGAAACAGTTAAGCCAAGTTTTTCTTTCCTTTTCTATTCCAGCTTAGAAGCCTGGGCATCTGGGGTTGGATTCCTCACACAGGAATGGCGTGCCAGGAGCCTACTGGTTGGAATGTTACAGGAAGCCTGCTGGGGTCCTGAGGCTCCCTGAAGGCATAAGGCTGTTGGGGCTCAGGGAGATGAATGGATCAACCCAAGGTAACAAAATTAATAGATGTACAGTATAATTTAAATATAATTTGCAGTATTGGGGCCTGAACTCAGGGCCTTTGGTCTGAGCTTTCTCAATTAAATACTTTTATTATGAGACAAGGTCTCATTAAGTTGCTAAAATGCCCACACTGGGCTTAAATTGCCATCCTCCTGCCTCAGTCTCCCAGACTTCTTGGATTAAAAGACTTTTCAATTTTCTATGTTTTATATATTCAAATCACGAGAGGAAACTTTACTGGAAAAGAAAGCCCACAGGACCAGATTGTTAACTGCTTAGGGGCACAGCCTGCTTAGATTTTAGGCCCTCTTTTGAACTGGAATATAGTCAGATCTGCAAAGTGCTGCCTCAGGCTGGGCTCTTTGAGTTGAAGTCTGAGGAAGATGAGCTCCATGAGATTCATTCTTCTCTACAGGGTGAGAGGGAGTGGGACTTGGAGGGCAGGAAACAAGGGGGAAGACATAAGCCAGTGTGGAGACACAGACCCTTACATTTCAAATTTACAGTCCCGTGCAAGTACATCATTTTGCTTAGGGCTATCCATGGGCACAGCCACCAAACATTTGGGACAAAAGGCAGTTTCAAGAGTTCCCACTCAACCTGAAGCTACTGTTTCTAGGAACAGTTCAGCCATGGTGGGGTTAAGCTATTTTGTTTTGGTTTTGGTCATAGTAGCCTGACCTGAAAATTGAACTGGCCTTCAGTAAGTATTTCCGTGGGAAAATGTAATCCTCCTTCAAGAAAGACTCTTAGTATATGGTTAACAATCTTTAATTTTCCAAAATCTAATCCCCAATCTTAACGAAAGGTATGATCCTGTTAAGGGAGCCAAAAACAAAGCAAACATTCAGATAAAAGCCGTCCTTTGAGGGAATAGTTACGTGGGAAATGTATGACAAGTAAAAGAGGACACATTATTGAATTTTGTTCTTGATATTATACTTTCTCAAATAGCTTCTTCCCGAAATGCAGTGCAAATCAGATAGTGACAAGATAACTTCTTCATTAAGGTCGGAGGGGGGCTGGGGATTTAGCTCAGCGGCATAAGTGCCTGCCTTGTAAGCAGACAGTCGTGAGTTTGATCCCTGGTACCAATAAAAAAACGAAAAAGACCAAAAAAAAAAAAAAAAAAAACAAAACCCCAAAAAGGTTGGAGGGGCTTTCCTGTGACAACAACAGAGGCTGGTAAGCAGATATTAGGTAAATCCTTACTTTCCAGCTACTTGGAGGTGGCCTTCCTCATTTCCAAGTGCTCCTTGAGATTCTGTCCTGATACAATTTAAATTGTGAATAATTAGCGGTGATACTACATGAGGAGAGGGAAAGACTTATTATCCCGATTTGATCATTGCACACTACGCATGCATTGAATTACAACACTGTGCTCTATAAATTAGTATACATACATGCTAGCTAAAAATACAGTTAAAAAAAATAAGGAATATACTGTGGCAAAACAATTTGGGTTCAACCTTTTATCTTTGTTACCCGTACAATTCTTTCCTCACTTCACCCCCTTCCCAGCACTCAGCCACTTTCCCTGTGCATCTCAGTACTTAATCATCATTTGTCTATGAATTTCAGTAGTGGAATTTGAAAACTAAGGTCAGCTTGGTCACCTTTACTGACTTGTTGGGGGAAAAAAAATCAAATTTATAACATGCCCACCCTACTCTTGCTATTCAAGTAATAAAATAAATTATACAGTATCCGCTGGAAAAAGGGCATAAAGGTAAGGAGAAGGAGAAGCAGAGCAGGCTTAGGGAGCTGAGAGCGTGCGTGATGCTTCCAGGAGGGGCTGCCATGGTCAACTGAGAGCTTGGAGCAGCCGTCCTGAAAGTGAAGCCTGAGGAAAGAACTGGAGCTGGTAAGGGACGCCAGGCACAGGGACATCTGG